AACGTTTTTCCTATCCGGATCTACGACACGTTACGATAGGGATATGTCTGAAGGCCCGTCTTTTTTTCTGAAACAATGGTTGCTTTAGATGGGCTGGCTTGGCTGCCCTGTACGACGGTTGTCCGAGTCCACCTGTGACTTTTGTCCGTTAGTGTGTCTTTCTGTTGGTCTTTTCGTCAGGCTCAATGTATTGGTATTAAATTCGAAAGACTGATTTTCGATTAACCTCACCATTAACTTATTATCTCACGATATCTACCTTTTTGAGCTGACACGGCTTTTTTAACACATTTTCTGATGTTCGGTGGCTAATGTTTCACCTTCAGGACGCATACGTATTGTTGTGTAGCCGCATCTTTATCATTCTGTGAATATTCTGTAGTCTTAATAGAAAACCAATTTTTAAGTGAAATCAAATATTTATTGGGTAATATGTACTCACTGTTTGAGTTTTTAAAAATTCAGAATACCCGTAAGGCTTCACATACGATAAAGAATGAACCTCACTCAGACAAAAAAATTGATCGGTGACGAGGTAGTAGCTTACATGTGGTAGTGATGGATTCGTCTTTTCTATTCATTTGTAGATTTTTGAAATTTATCCGAAACGCCTCAGCGGAGATAGTTTTGAAGTGACAGTACCGATCCTAACGTAGGGATCGAAAACATCAAGGAGAAAAACTCTTGTTGCACATTTATGGTAAACATTCTCTGATTGCAGTGAAGTTCATAGCTCATAGTGTTTGAACAACTTACGCGGGGCCTTAAGTCTTTACGAAACGGAAAAAGTACTTTTAGCCGACTAAGATTTGTTTTGTACACCAAATTTTCATAAGGACTCTTAGAATAGGATAGAGCTATATAGCAAGAAGTCTAGGCTGTGAGAAAGGCAAATTCGCCGAAACGTTAGCTGCCCAGCATCAAAATACGTGTTATCAACTTCTTGTGAGATCAAAAAAGGAGACTTCATAAGGTAATATTGGTACTATAGTCTACGTTGAATTGTGGCCAACTTGGATAACCATATACGGATTTCAAGCACAAATTTTACTCTCGGATTATTGAGCCCACTTTTGAAAAGCGCTTTTTTTCTGCTCAAGGTTGAAAAAAATCGCAACCTCGCAAAAATAATATCACGCGCGATAACTGAGAGTGAAAGCATGGATTCTTTCGTTAATTCCTCCTAGTGTTCTCGCTATAAGGTCCGTGCGGTCGTTCACTAGTCCGCTGGGCTTTGTTGTCATTGTGAAGTATGGGCGCATGCGGTATGTGTATCTAATAAGTGGATTGTGTGTTGCCTGTCTGTGTTCATGTCTCCGTCCCTTCCTTCCTTTATTCTGTGGTGAGTTGTTTTTATGTGAACGCGGAATAACATCCTAAAAGTATACGGTAGTTTCATACACCATTGTCTTTGGTTGTTGAGCCATGGCTGGGTGCGACGAATGCGACGGGTGCGGCGGGCCTTCGACACGAGACACACACTGTTCGTTGAGATCTTTCGTCGGCACTACACGTTGAGCTTCTAGTGTGGTCGTCGATCATACATTTGGTCAGAGTGCTCTTGTTCGAAAAAGACATAGTCCTTAATGTATTCATTCTTTTAAATTCACCAAAAAGAATGTTATTTACTTCACCCGATGTCATTTCGAATTGCACCGTCGCACTTGGAGCACAGTTTTAATAGGTTAGCAGTAGACGGACGTTCACTTGCTTATCACCAGTCAATAGTCATTAGTTCACTTGTAACATTCTACTCTATGCTACATAATAATATCGCAATTCATGGAAAGTTATGACGATGACATCCAGTGAAACCAAAAACAGCTTTTTGCCCGAATATGTTTTATACACGTTTAGATGGAATCGGTATTTCTTCCTTCATTTCAATGACGATTGACCTCGCTAATCGGTAGTTTTCGATTTACACATGCTTCCTTTCACTTATACGATGCTAGTATTTTAACAGGACAGGTTAACTATATGGCGTTGTTCAAGGTTTTTCGCTAAGCGAAGGTCGTTAACCGAACGTGTCGTTTAACCACACGAACACTAAGAGGGCGGTTTGCAACATCCACACATACAAATACGTTTAGATAGATCATCGCTAGCGTTCGGTGTGAATTCAAGTTAGGCTGTTCTTGTTATGAATCTTAGTTCTGTCATGGCAAATGGGTGTCAAATGACAACAGCGTGACTCTTGTGTTCGATAAGGCATTGCTCATGATATTTTTGATAATGGTCTGACTCGTTTTCGCGCTCTCCGTGTATCGCTACATGTATTGAATTCGTTTGGCAGTAGCAGCAATGAATGTTGAGAATTCATCAGTTATCAGATGGAAAGTTCAAAGCTTCTGTGGAGGGTAGAGGTTTCGGTGTTGCTTACTTTGTCAGAGATACACCACACATTCGAGTTCATTGAGCATTGTTGGAAGTGACCGAATGCATACCTGGCTTTTACAATTATTTGCAGTGGCATATTGATGGATTATGTCGGTGCTGCTTTGCGGCTATCCACCCAGACAAGTCTAGTACCAATTTGTCTACCCGTGAGGGATAGGAAGTAGGGTGAGCGAGGGAGCGGAATAGAACCAACAACACGTGTGTATTCCAAGGGACCTCCAACAACTGCAGTATCTGCACCGTAGAAAACAATAGGTATATATATATATATATATATATATATATATATATATATATATATATATGCTCACCGATAGTTTTCCACTCGACGAAGTTGTGCGAAAGAACTATTTCGTGTGTCCCCAAGATGAGCAGCAGACAACGAGGTTCACAGTTTTCGTTTGTTGCTCTTTAATTACATTGGATTTAGGAATAATGTTGCCACGCTTTTTGAATCAATATCGTGACACGAAACCTGATTCAGTCGGGCTTTTCTCCAGCTTTGGTAGCTGTGTTGTGTTGACGAAACTCAATGGTACAGTGCAGCTCAAAATTCAGGAGCATCCCATAGCTATCGAGGTACAGTGCGCATCCACCATTACTTGGGAAGGAGTTCGAGATCTGCACTGAGAAGCCTTATTACTAGAAAACCTACCTTGTGACGGAGCTTCGCGAAGTTCCACGTTGTTATCTTTTTACTGAAGACTTAATCCACGATGAAAAGGATTGTAAGGATATAGTTAACCAGACGTGATGACATTCTATTTTTGCCACATATCTGTTTCTTTCGTTATTGTCTTATCACGACGGACCATCAGAAACTTCTCTTCAGTAAAAAGGACACGGTTTTGCAGACACAAGTTTTCAAGTCTGTTGCATTGTATTCGATTCCAAAATGTCTATAGACCAAAATGAAGGTTCAATCACCGTTATTGGTGGTATTTTCTAGCTTCTGATAATTGAATGTATAAAAACATGTCGTGTCCAATGGTGAGGTGATTCCGCCCACGGTGTGGGTTTAATAGACCTCGAATCGTTTTGATGACAAAAAATCTACATAACTATTGCCATTTGACAACTGGCGGAACCAGACTTTATGTGACTCCATCGTCTTCTTTTTTGTATATTACACTCAAACATCATTGCTTGTGCGCATTTCATCTCATCAGTGTGGTACTGCTTGGCCGCACATTCTGCTTACCAATTCTTGAGTCTCTGTATGCGAATCGCTGTCGTCTTCGTCGTCTTCTCGTCTTCGCTACATTGTTTATGTGTGTGCGCGTTATGTTGAAGAGATTTCGGTTGTTTGAGGACGTCCCCGTGATGAGGAAGCCGGCCAACCTCGAGCAGTACTAAAGCTCCTACCACCGGTCGCAGTCTGAGAACACTGCTCCAGCTCTCACTTCTCACAGCGAAGGTGGTGACGTGTTCACTTCCAGCGCTACCAAATCAGATCCTACTGCACCTTTAACTATTATGGTGGACGTTAACAATTTTCTGTCCTCGCAAAACTACCTCAACTGGAGTATGCTAAATAAATTTTATGCCAAGGTGAGTATAACGTTATAGAGGTGACTTTATCGAGGTACTATGTAGGAGAAAGTTTTCCTGTACTGTGAAAGTGATGTGGTGTTATTTGAAGTTATTGCATTTTGTAAAGTAAGAGGACTGAGAAAAGAAGCCAGTGGTAAACTTTCATGCAGATCACACGAAAGCATTACAACTCCTTCATTCCTCCAATATATCTCATTAATAGTAGTATATGTCCAGTGTATAATATATGCAATTTTTTAAAAGGAGATCATCAGTCATCCATTCCGTTTGGATTAGACGTTTCAGAGAGATGGCTCACGCTGTTGCTTTCATGATTTGTCAAACTTTTTACACAAATTAACGCCTAAATTGTCTTATGCTTTCACGCTTTCATGTTGTTGTAGAGAATTGACGTAAGCACTATGTAAGGAATCATATCGATTAGCAGTGCTGACGTTACTGACGATGCTGACGTTGAACGTCCATCATTACATTGCCCATTTCCCATTTTGGCCATCTTCATTAGTTCGATAAAATACAATGACCTGCGATTTTTCAGCAGCTATGCTGTCCTCTCTGTTCCTATCATCCCTCATTGTTCCATTCATTCTCTCATACTTGTTCTATGTTAAGTGGAAGAATTTCTTCCTTCCAACTTGATTACTGTAGTGAATTCGTAATTTCGGTTTTTAACTAATTCTTTACCTAAACTTGTAATCAACAGCATAGTGATGGCATTAGCCTTGGTAATTCGTTCAAGATTAGCATGGTGGATAGATTTCATTGCAACTGTCCGATGATGATTTTGAGAGCGGTGATCAGTTGTATCATCGGGGCGGTGAAATGTTCACATTTCAAAACACCATACAGAGTATGACTTGTAGTAAAGGAGAAAAGTACTCCGTAACTTTCCAAGATCTTGTGTTAAGAGCAAAAGAAAGAAGTTCAAACCACGTTTGTAGTATGCAGTCTTCAATCTTTCAACAGAGGAACATAAAAAACCCTAAAAGAGTTGAAACCGTAGGACGTTGTACTCCATGTTGATCACGTTAGTATTTCAGCCTCAAATGAGCACGCCGGATGATCCGGTAATTCATTCGCCACCATCTCTCGGTGGTCAATTAATGAACGGTCAGTGTAGTAATTACAAGGCTTGATATTTTCATATCGGAAAAGGAATTCTTTCATTGATCGTTCCAGGTTTTAACCCAAATTTAACGCCTGCAAAAATGGAGGAAAGTATGGCAGCCGCGTGCGCCTCTCCTGATGTTGGAGGCATCGATCCAAATAGTGACGGAGTGAGATTGCCTTCTCTCGCTCTCCCTGTTTATTTTCCTCTTTTTGAACGTATTTTTCGTCATCCTTATTACCCTTATTACAAATAAAGAGCTGCCGCATGTGCAGAAAAAAATTGGCCGACGTTATGGCAGCAAGAACGCTTTTCCCCTTACATCACCTACAGTCATTAGGAAATCATTATGCACATAAGATTTACATTTGCTCTTTGTTGGAGCGTTCACATTCCTCGCCACGATGTCCTACTTGTTGCCTGATGTTCCCTTAGCACCTACAGTCATTTAGCGGACTGTTCCCGCTCCCCATGTTGTACAAACGCAGCATGTAGCTCTAACTGAAGTTTTCTATTACGCGAATTTTACATTAATTTCTATATGTACCAATTTGTCCAGGAGGCACGACGACGACAGAAGACTTGTAGAGTTTGTGGCGATCATGCCACCGGCTACAATTTCAACGTTATTACATGCGAATCTTGTAAGGCGTTCTTCCGTCGTAATGCTCTTCGGCCAAAGGTTCGTCAAATCGATGATGTAATGTGGAGTGTTACGAAAATGAATGGCACAATTTGTACGTAATATTGTAGGAATTCAAATGTCCGTATTCTGAAGACTGTGAAATCAACGCCGTCAGTCGACGCTTTTGTCAGAAATGTCGATTGCGAAAATGTTTTGCTGTGCGTTCTTGTATTTTTGTTCACTTTCAAGTTTGTCTAATTTATGCATGAGATTCATGCCTTTGTGAAAGTATGATTGTCTTTGTGTGATAAGCGTTTTCGAGTGAATGTGCCACTGTCACAGGTGGGAATGAAAAAGGAATGGATATTGAATGAGGAGCAGTTGCGACGAAGGAAAAACTCACGCCTGAATAATATGGCTAATCAACAGAGACAGAAGCAGGTACACTATTACCAGTATGGTTGTGCATAAATATATGTATATATTCAAATTTTATATGCATACATATACATGTCGTTTTATTAGAAGCCTTTCTCACAGTGCCCCGGACTCACATTCACTGAAGGAGTTCAATTGGAAATTATTTGAAGGAAAAAATTTTTATTAAGGAGCTCGCTCGGCAACATGCAGCTGTGAAAGCAATGACATCACCACTTTCCATTTCCCCGATGGTTGACGCACAGGCGTGTTGCTTCAACGCATTATTTTGTCGCATCTAAACTTTTGAGGGAATAGGGTCATAGTGCTGACAGACCACATGAAGATGTTTAGTTTCAGCTTGGAGCGCTGAGTGTTCGCAGCGGAATCCCACCATTGGTCAGTCCAACTGGGCAGGTTTGCATCATTAAAATAAATCCTTCAGTAAGATTCGCTCGTAATCAGCACCTTGTTATAGTACACTTTAATGAGTCCTGCTGGCCCGGGCACTTCCGACTCACCTCCATCGCGTCCACTTGGTCTAATGACTTCCAACCAGGGAAGTCCAGATGCCGTAAGTTATCGGTATTTTTTTGTTCGGTAGTAAATATGTCGGCGCTCAGAAGTTAGATACAAATTTTAGTACGAATCCAACATGATGATGCAACAACGCTTACGCACGCAGTTACCACAAACGGCCATGTCGGGAAATAAAGTTGTCGATCCATCACGTCAAGTAAGCATCGCGCTTCGTAACACGTGAGAGTTTCCGAGTGAAAATAAATATTTCCTAACGCTACTTATCATTTTAGGTTATTATTTCAATGGATGAATATCATAGCCTAGTGCAGCGCGCAACTCGTCCCAATGAAGATGAACCACTTTCGAAAAGGTAGTGTGTAACTAAAAATCTGAATGGAGGTAGTTATGATTGTTTAGCACATTTTAGATCTGCGTATCACTCACCAGAAATGGTGACGAGTCAAGCACGACCATTCCAATCGCCCACCAATCAGGTGCCATCGGTTCATAACATTTCACAAATCCGACCGGGTATGATCAGTTAATTTATTGGTTTGGAATAACGAATTTTTTAAGGAAAACTTGGGGGGTGGAACTAAACCTCAAGAAGATCACCTCCATTGGAACATTGGATACCATAGAGTCTATAGTGATAATCTTATCAAGGAAAATATCTATATACCATATAAATTATCAAGAAATATCTATAAGGTCTCTGAGCCGTAAAAAATTTACTAAGGTGAAAAATCAATAATCCCAAAGTTTTAATATGGTATTCTGAGATGATCATTTATTACCATTTGCGTGCACTGTGTCACTAATTCGGACATTTCCATGGGCCAACTCACACCGAGAAATCCTTCATCTTCTTGTCTGGACCAACTAGTAGAGGGTTCGAATTTGAAATTCAGAAACCTGATTCGTCCAGCGGTTGACCCTTGAACTTCGTTCAAGGTCAACTACTAAATGGCGCCTCAGCGAACTATAAATGGGCCACCAATATTGCGCCGCATATCACGAGATTGATATTTTATTTAGGATTACCCACATACACGGATCTCGGTGCCGCATCCAGCGGCGATCTTCCAAAGCCCTCATTCACAAGCAGTAATTATGAAGAAGGATTGGAAAAAATGAATTTATTTTTCCATAATACTATAGAGGATGCGCTAAAGATCGACAGCCCCGATGATCATTCAGTGCCTGTGTCCGCTGGGATAGCGTCATCAACGTCAACAAGCTCTGGTAGTCACATTGCTGAGGTAAATCTAAAGTTGTCAGTTTTCCATAAGAAAAGAGAACTTTGATCCATGATGGTATCTGTGGTGACAGGCGGAAGCTTCTGCTACGTCGTCTAGTACATCAGACAAAAGACTCAGTTATCAGTTGAACGCAGCTGAATTGCAAGCACTGGATTTGGTAGGTGGTTCAAATTTATATTATTTATTACTTTTATTATTATTATTATTTCTTAATTGTTGTTATCACTACTAGTAACAATATTATTACTATCATCGTTATCATTACAATTATTACTACTGTCACTGTTATTGTTATCATTACTAATGATGCTAGTAGTAATACTTTTGTGATTGCTGTTTTTTGTTTTAGATTCAAGAAGCATTTAAAGGAATGAACGATCCTATGGAGCAGGGACGACAGAAGGCATCGTTTCTCAAGGTTACAAAAGTTTCACTAACATGTAGTATCTGTGATTAGCTATGAAATCTGTTACTACTAAAAGAAGTGGTCTAGAATGAGAAATCACCTGCTGACATTATGAACATCATGGATGTGACAATGCGTCGATTTGTGAAAATGGCAAAGAAACTACCAGCTTTTAATGATCTCAGCCAAGACGGCAAATTCGCTCTCCTTAAGGGTACATCTGTTTCGCTTTTAATTATTTATGGTATTAGCATTTAACATTTTTTGAATACTCGGTTGATTGAAATTTTTTAGGTGGAATGATCGAAATGCTTACAGTTCGTGGTGTGCGCCGTTTCGACATCAATTCAGGTGTATGGACGACGCCGACGCTGAAGGAGAGTTGTGAGGTGTCCATCAATATGTTCGACCAACTGAATGCTGATTTGAGGAACGAACAAAAGATGCGTTTTCTGCAGTAAGTTTTTCATGTAAATTCTTTTTTGTCGATGTATAACTTAACGATGACTTTTTCAGATTTTTCAAGATCTTTCACGAAGATATTCGAAGCAACGATCTAGTTATCTCCATGATCATGTTGATTGTGCTGTTTTCTCCCAGAGATTGTATTACGGATCCTCAGGACCGCCGTATAATCGCTAGACATCACGAGCAGTTTTGTGCGCTTCTCAATAGGTTTGGTCGCGTTTCAAATCACATATCGCCTGTTTTTGGGGAGACTTCTTTGGATTGCTAATTTCTTTATTGTTTATTAGTGTTAATATTAATACTATTACAGTGATATCTGGTGTGTTCCAGATATCTCGAGTCACTCTATGGTGATGATGCTCATAAGCTTAACGAGCAACTTCCGACAGCGCTTCGAATGTTACGTGAGATATCTGCGTCATGCGGTTTACTATTCTTGGGCACGGTGAATACAAGCGAGGCAGAACCACTACCTCGTGAGTTCTTCAAAGTAGAGTAAGATGTCACCACTGATGATTGTCATTTGTCACATTGGTTAAACGCATTATATGTGCTGCACTACACTGCACTGCTCTACTCTACACTACACTACACTACATACACAATCATAATATACTCATCTAATTCATGTGTCATTGATTCTTTCTTCATATATGCATGGTTCGTCCCTTTTCATTGGCCTATGACATTCACGTCGTTCCTCTTCCAGTGTCAAGTCATTACGTATCCTCCCGATTATGGTCACGTTATTATCATTGTTATTTTTCTTTCAATAGGGTGTGTCATCTTTCACAACCACGAATTTCTGTTAATTAAGCAAGACATCCTCTCGCTTGTTCTGCATTGTTTTCTCATTTTTCTTCCTATAGCTTCTTTTTCTCGTTTTTCATTCTCTATCCCTTCCTATGATGTCGTAATCATATGTCAATACCTCATCCCTCTTTGTGATTCGTAATTTTTCTTGTTTTGTTTAAATTATTATTCCCTGTTGTTTACCACTTTTGTGACCCTTCTTAGCGTTGATATATATTGAATACGTATTCTATCTTCTTAAATAGTGAATGATTACGTTGTATAATAGTCGAGTGTTTCACACCGGTTACGCTAGAGTACGGAACTCATAAAAACATCTATGAATCGTAATTATTTGGAATCCTAATCAATCAAAACACACGTATATTTTGTCATTGTGTTAAGTCGGCCCGGTTTATTATTTGAGCAACCTCTGTAGAAACTACCTCTGATTACTTTATCTCGAAAATGTGTCCTAATGTTTTTTTTTCCTCGTTTTTCTCTAAAGTGTTCGTCGATTATGAGAGTGCTTTTTGTAAGTGTTTGGATTCTGATTAACACTGATTTTCTTGCTTTCTTTTTTCCTCTGTTTTTCATCTTATTCTCTGTACCTTCTATCAGCTCCCACTTCACTCTCACCTCTAGAGTATTTCCTTTATTATAGTGCAATTAGATGTGTGACTGGGAATGTGCTTCTGAAAATACTTTGATCCTTCTTTGATTGTCATCACAATACATATATATATATATATATATATACATATATATATACACATATGTATATACATATGTATACATATATATACATATATATACATATATATACACATATATATATACATATATATACATATATATATGTATGCATGTTTATATGTATATATACAGGCAGATACACAAGCACAAGTATAGAATTGGACACATATATACATAAGACTACCTCCTAAATAATAGTCTATAATCAACAAATCACTCATAAATGACAGTGCTACTGAATGGAAAAGAGCCGTCCTTCCATGTCATGTCGCGAGAAATCTACGCGTATTCGGATCTTACGGATCGCCTGCTTCTATTAACATAAAGGATGCATAGATTTCATCTACGTAAATGGATTGCCTGTACTCACTCGTCCCTTGAAGGTGATTAGTTCGTTGTGTGTCCAGTTGCAGCTTGTGGATGTGTTGTCTGCTTTACATATTTTCGTCTAACATTGCGACTTAGTGGATTTTTTCCCGTTTTCCCGAGGGAGTCAGGCATTCCAGGTTTCCACCACATGAAGTGATCAGCTGTACATGCAGCTTGTGGATCGGAGAGATGTTTGGTGCTTTGTGATTTGGAGTCTTCTACTAGACAAGAACGATTTCGGTGTGGTGTCAACGATTGTTGTAGTTGGTTGAGAGAGCACCTAAGAATTATGTAGCAGACTAAATCCCATTTTATACACTTGGATTTCACGTCCATCATTCACTGAAATGAAATTACAATTTGAATACTTTGTCGTGTTTGTAATGAGTACGTGGGTCATTGTAATCGCTTAGCACCGAATTAACATTGCGGCTTTAGCACCAGGATTCCTCTCTTCGGTTCTTCTTTTCTCATGTGTCGTAGACTTCTTTGACGTGTCGTTTGAGAGAATATAGTGAATGAAAAAAGTTGACTTTTGGAATTTTCCTCGATGCCGCAATAGAATCACTTTATCGATTATGTGGAATTCAATAAACGAATTAGGGACGAAGAGTCATACGGTGTAAAGTGACAATTGCAAGTCATTAAAAGCCTTACCATATACGTTGAGGTGAAGAAATGAGGAGCGAAAAAAGAGGGAGTTAGAACATGACATAGATTCTCTTCATTGAGCAGAAATCTACCATGCCCTATACGCGTTACACCGACAAATGATCATTTTATTGTTGCCGATTCGAATCATCTAGGTAACAGATGAAAATGTCTACATTTTACATCGTCGCGTTAGAGGAAAAATAAGGCACTAGTACAGTACTGAAATTCGGTGTGGAATTCAGTGCTGGACTTCCAAATCACTGTTCACACTGGAGGTATTTCCCGTTTCATTTCTTGCCGATAGTATGGTACAACAAAACAGTACGGTAGGCAATGTGAGTGTAACAATGACACCAATGATTCCCATCATCTACTGGCTCACATACAATGATGTAACACTGTTGTGTTCTGTCGTTTCGGCAAATACTACATTTGCGAACGCTCTGCTAGAAAAGAACAACCATCAAAATCTTGCTTTTTCTTTTCATTTCCTCTTATACCCAGCTACGGTTGTAATGTTAATCACGTGACATTGTGGTAAGAACGGAAGTAACCGGGAAGGAAAATTATGAGACGTAACACAAGTTGAAATTTCAACGCTACTACTGTCGGTTGCAATGTCTATTGTTTCTGGCTTATAATATTGTTTTCATGTCATTGTATACCGTTATAAAACTGAGTGCTATTTAAATATCATACTAAAGCATGAAAAATAAAGGACAAAGTGTCAGGCGTTGATCAATCCTCGAGGAATGCTCCATGCATTTGACTTCATCAACCGTCGTAAAAGTGATTGAATCCGCATCTGCCCTATACATATGGCTTGCGGTAGCTTACTGATGCATCAAATCAGTGCTGCTATCTTCCCGACAAGTCCCGTAGCAATAGGCTGAATGGGAATGGAAGACTTGGTGAATCAGGTGCGAGGGATTGAACCAGCTAACAATCTAGCAAGGATGGATTGCGGTGCATCTCTAGCCATAGCGTTATACTCGTCTTTTGCACAGGCGTATAAATGACAATATGTAGTCGGAAACACTACGACAAATTAATACTATATAACAACAATGGTGGAAGCAGTAGTAATGAAAACAGGGTCGATCTATAGCAGCACTGCTTTTTAAGACCAATAATAACTATATATCAAAGTTATTATAACCAATATTATTAACACTGTTGTTTTGTTTCAGTCATTATTATTATTATTATTATTATTATTACTATTATTATTACTATTGTCACTGTTATTATTACTACGGGTTTGTGCATATATATATTGCATGCTTAGTACTATATAATTATAGTTATTCGCATTACAATTGGGCTTGTCACATCGTTCTCGGGTGAGGACCACACAACATTCATAGCGGTCACAGTGACCACTTCAGTTTCCAAGAATTTTAAATGGCATGGCCATAAACATCTTTTTTGTCGAAGGCCTAGCAATCGATTGTGGTGAATACTTGGAAACGCTTTGCACGTTTATTCAGGAAAAATGCTAGTCCAACATTTAATAAGGAACGAAAGAACGGGAAAAAATTTGAATCCTACCACCTACATCCATCGTTAATGGTCGCCAGACAACGAAATGAATTGAAATGGTGGATAATATGGGGGGTTTTTAAGTATCTAAGTAAACGTTTGCAAACAAGAAATAAGCAGCTTTAGGTGGGATAGCGGAGTGGTTAGTGATACAGCTCATCAGGAAGCAAACTACTGGTTGGACCAACGTTTTTTTCTCCAACACTCTTGTCCAATCCATGCAAGAACGTCTTATCTCAGCTATCCCCAGGATTGCAAGGACATTCGACTTGACGAGCACTGTACTACATTTGTAACGAACACGAAGTCCACTAGCAGCGCCTAAACGGCAATGAAATGTTCGAAGATCTTCGTGGACGATTAATGGAGGATAAAAGAAGGGTAAAGCTCCCGGCCTTGATCAATCCCTGAGGGATGCGCCATGAATTCGACTTCATTAAGTATCGTAGGAGGTGATTGAATGCATATCTGGCCTGGTGGTGGCCTACCGATGTATCGAGCCAGTGCTGTTATCCACCCAGACAAGTCTGGTGCCAATTTGCCGACCCCGGAGAGACGGAGAGTTTGGTGAGCCATTGGCGCAAGGATCGATTCCACGTGTGTCGCAGTGGCGCCTCTAACCGCTGCGCCACATGCGCCCTAATGGAAAGAAAGGATTCGAATCCTATTGCTGGGAACAGCTCAGTAGATAAATATGCACTTACTATTGCAGTCACAACTACAGCAAGTTAATGTAGTTTTAAAAATATTGTTGCATATGAGTAAATGCTCACATTTTTTGCACTGTGGATAGTTAAGAATTTGACTGCCCGTTTCTTATTCTTTTCCACTCAGGAAAACTTCTAAAGAGCGTGTTATGCAGTGAAAGTGATGCTGTTCAATCCGAGTAAGGTGCTGGTGCGACCACGCTCCGGGCCAACGAGATTTCCATCTCTTGAGGATCGGTAAATTGATGGCAAGCTTGTTTGTTATTAGCTGCCTCAATTCAATTCAAAAAACACGGTGGCTGCCTGTGATGGAGATTTGGGTACACCCCAGCATAGCTATCCCGGCACACTAAGAAAAATCTACTCAACCAGAATTCTACGGCACTCATGAGGAAGAGAAAATCTCTAAGGCGGCAGATAAACCCAAATGCAAAAAATTTCCAAGGCATTTGTGGAGTATGAACGCTATGGATGCGATGGAACGAACCGAATGGTAGGAGTGCTGGAATACGCACGAGATGTGATGTAAGGTCGTGTGAGATAAAAAAAAGGATAGGCGAACTCTTTAATACTTCTAAATTCCACGCATTTGTTCTAATGTGTACACATGTCTGTTCCAATTCTCTTTTTGAAATAATGATATTTGTAGAGTTTTATGACTGAAAACTTCACATGGTTT